GAGTAAGGCTTGTTTTGAGGTAAAAAAGTATATAGTTGCGGGCTCGTTTATAATCGAATTTTACAAGACTCTAAATAAGGGTTCTTTCATTGTTAACGAAAATATTACAATTCGGGGGTGGTTTGTAATTGTGAGTTATGTGAGTAAGGCTTGTTTTGAGGTAAAAAGGTATACAGTTGCAGACTTATTTATAATCGAATTTTGCAAGACTTTAATTGAGGATTGTTTTATACTTGAGGAAAATATTACAATTCTGAGGTGGTTTGTAATTGTGAGTTACGTGAGTAAGGCTTGTTTTGAGGTAAAAGGTTATATAGTCGTAATTGCAGGCTCATTTATAATCGAATGTTGCAGGACTTTAATTGAGGGTTGTTTTATACTTGAGGAAAATATTATAATTCCGGGGTGGTTTGTAATTGTGAATTATGTAAGTAATACTTGTTCTGAAGTGGAAGGTTGTATGATCATAATTGCAGGCTTATTTATAATAGAATGTTACATGACTTTAACTGAGGGTTGTTAATTGAGAGAAACATGCTTATAATTCAGGGTTGTGTCATGATTTTAGGATATATCATTATGAATCAGGGTTGATTTGCATTTGAGTATTATGTGATTTTAATTGAGGATTGTTTTATAATTGATAATTATGTGATTACAATTGAGGGTTGTTTTATAACTGAAAATTATGCGATTATAATTGAGGATTGTTTTATAACTGAGAATTATGTGATTATAATTGAGGGTTGTTTTATAACTGAGAATTATGTGATTATAATTGAGGGTTGTTTTATAATTCAGAATTGTGTGATTATAATTGAGGGTTGTTTTATAACTGAGAATTACGTGATTATAATTGAGGGTTGTTTTATACCTGACAAATATGTGATTATAATTGAGGGTTGTTTTATAATCGAAAATTATGTAATCATAACTGAAATAATTCAGAGTTATACAATTAAAAGTGAGGATTATTTTGTAATTAAGAGTCCTATAATTATAATTAAAAACTATATGAGGGCGCTTAAGTATTTGGAAAAGATAATTTAGAAATTAGAAACTTGAGAAATTGGGAAATTGGGAATGGGGGGGAGGGGGTGCAAACTTAGAGATGTGGATATTTAGGAATTAAGACACTTGGGAAATATAGAAATTTAGGAATTAAGGAATTCAGAATTTGAGAAATTATGAAATTGAGAAATTTAAAAATTAAAAAAATTGAAAATTAAGACAATTAAGAAAATTGAGAAAATTGAGAAAATTAAGAGAATTAAGAAAATTGAGGAAACTGAGAAAATTAAAAAAAATTGTGAATATTTATAAAATTTATAAAATGTACAAAATTCAGAAAAATGAAGAAAATTGAAAAATGGCTAAAGTTTAGAAAATTAAGCAAATTTTAAAAATTCAAGAAAATTTGGAAATTTGGAAGTAGAGAAATTTAAGAGTCAGATAAATTTTTGAAATTGCGTGTAGACATCTAGAAATTTAAGTTTTTTAAAAATTCAACAATGAGAAACTCGTAAATACATAAATCTTAAAACAAAAAAATGTAAAAATTCAGAAATTAAAAAATTATCTACTTAACGACAAGAAAATTTGCATATCCAATTTCCAAGAGTCGCATACTCCTACTAACAAACCCCAAAACTTTAGAATCCCCAAATTATGAAGCCTAAAATTCTCCAAAATTCGAACTACCAAACTGCAAAGTAAAAAACAAAGCAAAAAACTGTTCAACTGATCCGTAGTCAAAGACCATTCCAACTGTCCACAGCAACAAAGAGTAAGCAAGAGTCGTTGGAAATACACACATCCATTGTGCTAAAAGCAGCGAGACAGGGTCATGGAATAACACGGTGGTCGTGTATGACCCGACGCTAATTTCCTTGGTCGGTAGGATCCGAATAACCACGTAAATCCGTCGGGTCAGATTTTCCGGAGCTCGCTAAGTCGTGGATGGGTACATTAATTCACCTAAAGCCCGACGTTTATATTAATACCGGGTAATTAATAACGGTTAAAAGGCGTTCGTCCACAGGAATCGTCGTTGGTTAAAGCCGGACTTCGTTCCGGTGTTACTATGGTTACCATGTTCTGGCTAAGAACGTATGGAGGAGAAATGTTAAATTGCACTAGATGCGCCGTAATTTGCGCCGCTGCAAACAGGGATGTGATTTCCTATGAGAGAGTGAATCGGACACGTGTAATACGGCAAAAACACCCTCCGATGATTGATGAACACCGGTACACTAACCCACCGGTAATCATTTTACGATTTCTCTGATTATTTAAGTACCAGTTTAGCTTCATCACACTCGGAATTTTGATTAATTTGAAGAAATACGGGGTATGAGATTTATTCAGAAAGTTGATAGGGAAAAATTACTTGTTTTATGGGGGGTAAAAAAAAACAGAAACAGAAAAATTATTAAGCGAGTTTATTAACCCTTTTATGTAGGGTTGAAGGTAGGTCGTTTGGGTATAGGAGTGAAATGTGTTATGGGGGTAATGTGATGGATTAACAGGTAATCCTGTGAATTTATTGGGAGCTGTTGATCATTTTTTTCTTTTTAATAATAGAGATTTAAACTGTATTATAATGCATTAGGTTTCTGACATAAATTGTTAGTGTGTATTAGAAATATTTCGAGGGTGAAAATTAAATTTCCGTGCTCGGAAATTTGTTAAACTTTTAAATTTCTTAATAAAGACATACTTGAATTATAATATGTACATTCAAATTAAGGACTAATAAATGTACAAAACGCAGTGTTCATCTTCTTCAATCTTCAAATTTTAAAATTTCAAAATTTTCAATAACTCAATATTCCCACGTCTTCAAGTTTCTAAATTACCAAATTTTCCTAATTTTCTCAATTTTCTTAATTTCCTTATTTTCCAAATTTTCTCAATTTCCCTAATTATCTCAATTTTCCTAATTTTCTTAACTTTCCTCATTTTCTCAATTTTCCTAATTTTCTCCATTTTCCTAATTTCTCAATTTTCTTAAGTTTCCTAATTTTTTCATTTTCCCCAATTTCCTTAACTTTTCTAATGTTCCTAATTTTCTTAATTTCCTTAATTGTCTCAATTTTCCTAATTTTCTTAATTTCCTTAATTTTTCTAATTTTCCTAATTTTCTTAACTTTCCTAATTTTCCCAATCTTCTTCAGTTTTCTAATTTTCTCAATCTTCTTCAGTTTTCTAATTTTCTCAATTTTCTCAATTTCCTCAATTTTCCTAATTTTCCTAATTTTCCTAATTTTCTCAATTTTCTCAGTTTTCTTAAGTTTTCTAATTTTCTCAATTTCCTCAATTTTCCTCATTTTCCTAATGTTCCTAATTTTCTTAATTTTCTTATTCGTTAATCTTCATATTCCTAATCCCTAAATTCCTAAATTTCCCAATCTCTAAATTCCCAAATTCCTACCTTCCAAAATCCCTAAATTCTCAAATATCTAAATTTCCAAATTTTTGTATTTCCAAAGTCTTAAATCCTCACATCCTTACATCCTTAAAATTCCTAAATTCTCAAATATCCAGATTTCCACATTTGTAGATCCCCAAATCCTTACATCCCCAAACTCTAACACCCCAAAATAACCACATCACAGAATTCCTACATCCCCAACTTCCTAATCCCTCTTCCAAATCCCCAATTCTGACTTCAAACCCAGAACCCCAAAATCTCTAAAAAGTGAATCTCTCCAAAAAAAGTCCAAATTCTCTCAACAACATAATGTCAAAATCAGTCAACATAAACTCTCTTAAAATCTTAAAATTCTAAATTCCCTTCAAAGTGCGAGTCTTCCCCCTCATCCCATGTCTTCCGAAGGGAAGCTTTGCTCATGACTGTACACACAGGATACAAATGGGCCTGCGGATACCGATGTAAGATTAAGTGTCTGATACCGACCTCGTAATCTAGTCTGTATCTGATAGCAGGGTTACCGTATAAACAGACGTTCAGAGATCCCTTTTGATAGCACGGCCACTTTAGCCCTGGTTCTATGCGCCTGTACAAATAGACGAGCGAGTCGTGTTACTGCTCACTCGAGCCCTAACCCTAAAGCTGCTTAGGAAGCGTAGGTATAGTTTTGCATCGGCCATATATCGACCGGTCTGAATCGGATGAATAATAACGGTCCGAGCGGAAGTTAAAACATTTACATCCCCCTATCGAGTTACCGCCCCGGGACGAAACACCTTGTTGATATTGCCGGCGATTTGTCGTTTTCGATCTCTCTACGCTCTATATTATCGATACTATATCGCTTACGGCTTTGCCAGCTGGTCGCGGTTAAGTAAAACTAACGAAGCCTTCCGGTTGTACCTTTCACCCTAGCAATGCTTGATTAATTACGGAGTCTAGATCATGCGAATTCAATGAGGGTACTGGTTATGGCTGGGGAGATTGCTTTGGACATCTCTAGTTTATCGACTTGATTTAGATTCTGTGTAATTTGAGTCTATTGATAGATTTCGTATTTTTGGGGTGGTGGGTGATTTATGAGGGTACAGGAGCTAATTGATTCTATGGTGACTTAGAAATCGTAGTAGAAGTACATTAACACTTAGCCGATCGTGCGCGCCACAGAGACGTGTACAGTTTCCACCGCGCATTTTTCTGAGGTAGCACGCATTGAAATTCGCTATATAAAATCAAAATCCTCCGAAAGTTATTTATGTGATCAATTATATCTTACGGTAACAATTTCGGTCAACGATTTCACATATTGCTTATACAAAATTCGAAATTAAAAGTTTATAATAATTATTTTTCAATAGTTATTCAAAAGGTATAGGTAATAGAGTTAGAAAATTAATGACAGTAAAGATGACGGATAAATAATGTAACTCAGATGTGGAACAAAAAAGCAATAATATATTTTAGTATTGTTTCAGCGTATGATATCTCTCGAAACATGTGAGCTTATGCAATGGCACATTACAATATTCGCAAACGTACCGTGTATAGCCCGATTTTTTATTTGCAGAGCATACTCTGCATTTCCGTTGTGGATATGTCTTGTTTCCATTTGTGACATAATTATGTTGTACTCTATAGAAATAAGAAGTTCTATAGAGAACGAAGCGTTCCTCAGGTAAAAATGGTAGATCTACCCCATCGGTCGGCCACCGACTAGCCTGAAAAAGGGTAGATCTACCCCATCAATCGGTTAAGTGTTAAGTAGAATAAAAGTATTAGGGTGGCTCTTTGTATGTTATTCTTAATTGAAATCATATTACCAAACTTGATTCATATCATTTCAGGTGGTACTTATGTAGTAGGTTCTTTCCATCATATTTTATTAGTAGGAGCTGTTGTTTCCACTATTACTGGGTAATTCGTGATTTATTTTAATTGTCCTGGTTACCATAATTGTCCTAGTTACCCTACTTATCCTACTCATTCTAGTTACCTTATGGTAATTGTCCTAGTTACCTTACTTGTCCTAGTTGTGCTATTTATTCCAGTTAGCTTAATTGTCCTTGTTACCCTAATTGTACTAGTTATCATACTTATTCTAGGTACCTTAATTATCCTAGTTACCCTACTTGTCCTAGTCACCCTATTTGTTCTAGTTACTTAATTGTCCTAGTTACCCCAATTATCCTAATTATCCTATTTATTCTAGCTATCTTAATTGTTCTAGTTATCTTGCTTATTCTATTTACCTTAATTGTCCTAGTTACCCTATATGTCTTAGTTATCCTATTTCTTCTAGTTACCTTAATTGTCCTAGTTATCTTATTTATTCTAGTTACCTTAGCTATCCTAGTTACCCTACTTGTCCTAGTTATCCTTATTATCCTAGTTACCTTAATTGTCCTAGTTACCCTATATGTCCTAATTATCCTATTTCTTCTAGTTACCTTAATTGTCCTAGTTATCTTATTTATTCTAGTTACCTTAGCTATCCTAGTTACCCTACTTGTCCTAGTTATCCTTATTATCCTAGTTACCTTAATTGTCCTAGTTACCCTAATTGTCCTAGCTATCCTTTTTATTCTAGTTACCTTAATTGTCCTAGTTACTCTACTTGTCATACTTATCCTACTTATTCTAGCTGCCTTAATTGTCATAGTTGCTCTACTTGTCCTAGTAATCCTACTTATTCTAGCTACCTCAATTGTCCTAGTTACCCTAATTGTCCTAGTTATCCTATTTATTTTAGCTACCTTAATTGTCCTAGTTACCCTACTTGTCCTAATTATTCAATTTATTCTATTTACCTTAATTGTTGTAGTTACTCTACTTGTTCTAGTTGTCCTCTTTTTTTTGCTTCTATCAATAAACAATAACCGGAATTTCATGACAACAAAAAATAAGATAAATAAAAGTTCCGGCGCTTCTACTAGAGTACCGGAAGTCGAAGCGAATTTGTCGGTGCAAGCGGAGCATGGTATAAGGTTGAAGGAATTTTCAAAGTTTTCCAAATCATAGTTTCGGAGTTCGTTTTGTTTTTGACGCGTTTCCTCCGTCGACCGGGTTCGTTGTAACAGAGAAGATAGCCAGCAAGCCAATAAAACGCTCTTCTCATCACCTTTTGCCGCTCGTTGTATAGGTTACCGTAACAAGATCAATTTTTATTTCGAAAAGTTTCGCTCGTGGTCAGCCTGAAAGTTCGGGGCCTCAATAGAATGATTACAGAGAATCGAATTCGCTGAACTTACTTACGAGTCAACCGATTCTACGGTTCTATCGTGGCGGGATAGGATAGAGGGCTCCTGATAGGATCAATTTCAATCCCCTTCGTGAAATTTTCGATACACGCACGGATTCTCTCGATATTTGCGGGATTCGATGCTGGCCAAGTAGTTAAAGATGCATCGATGGAAGTGGACTCGGATAACCGACATTTTCTTCGTCACTTTTGATATTGGAAGTCGATCATATGGCGCATGCCATTGTGATGGAGAGCTCAGAAAGACACAAGTCCATTATTTGTAAATTTTGAAAAAGTATACTTTCAAATTTGAGAAATTCAAAACTTCAGAATTATACAAATTTCAAGTTGTAGTAAATACATAACTCAAAATATGAAACTTGCAAATCTTGTCACTTTCGTCATTAACAATCAGACATTTTGAACGAACATTACAACAAACTTCAGAACAAACACGGCTCAAATCTACAGATTCAAAAATGTGACATTCTTGTCAATACCAAAAATAGACACAACGGTATTTGAATTATTCAACGAAGAAATAAAAAAATAAATTTGAACCTTGACAAGAAATAATGACAAATAATGTGGTAAAGTCCTTCCTTGTTAGCTCCCGTAGCCCTAAGCCTCACCAGACAAACAAATTGAATCATTTAGCTTCTTTGTCAACGTCAAACGGCAAAAATTCGAATTGCGTTCTTCTAAACTGTCCAGAAGAGGTGTTGAAGACCCTCGACGACCTTCCGAACGGTAATCAGCGCGTTGCGAGCTGTCGCCTTAACGAATGCTCGAAACGCAAAAACTGTTATCGCGTGGTTATTGGAAAACGGCAATAACGAGAATACGCCTGGGGCTAGGCTTGTCACAGAACGTATATACATTGTTGGAAAGCTATAATGAGACTTCGCGTCGTTTCGCCTCGTCGTTAAAGTCTCCAAGCACGCAAGTCGAACCAGTGATTACCGCCAGCGGTCACGAGATTGACTTGTGTGGTCACCGAGCAATCAGTGAGCCTGTGTTGCCCACCGACCTGCCCCGACGTTTCCGGTGGAGGGACGATTGTACTCTGATGCGGATATATTCTTATCGTTTACTTTGTCACTGTTTTGTCAATAAAGAAAATTTAGAGTCTGGAGATTTGGAAATATGGAAATTTGCAATATGGAAATTTAGAGATGTAGAAAGGTGCAATATGGAAATTGAGAGATGTAGAAATTTGCAATTTCAAGATTTGGAAATGTAGAAATTGGGGATTTGGAGGTTTTAACATACAAAACTTTGTAATTTACATATTTAAGATTTGGAGACTTGGAAATGTAGAAATTTGCAATTTCAAGATTTAGAAGTGTAGAAAGTTGCAATATGGAAATTTAGAAATGTAGTAATTTGTAATTTCAAGATTTGGAAATGTAAAAATTGGGGATTTGGAGGTTTTAACATACAAAACTTTGTAATTTACACATTTGAGATTTGGAGACTTGGAAATGTAGAAATTTGCAATTTCAAGATTTAGAAATGAAGAGATTTGCAATATGGAAATTGCAATGTAGAAATTTGTAATTTCAAAATTTGGAAATGTAGAATTTGGAGATTTAAACATACAAAAATTGGAAATTTACACATTTGGGATTTAGACACTTGGGCATGTAGAAATTTGCAATTTTAAGATTTAGAAATGTAGAAATTTGCAATATGGAAATTGAGAAATGTAGAAATTTGTAATTTCAAGATTTGGAAATGTAGAATTTGGAGATTTAAACATACAAAAATTGGAAATTTACACATTTGAGATTTGGACACTTGAAAATGTAGAAATTTGCAATATGGAAATTGAGAAATGTAGTAATTTGTAATTTCAAGATTTAGAAATGTAGAAATTGGAGATTTGGAGATTTTAACATAAAAAAATTTGAAATTTACAGATTTGAGCTTTGGAGATGTGGAAATGTAGAAATTTGGAATATAGAGATTTTTGCCTATAAATATGAAAATCTGAAAATAAAATACTTTTATACTTCCCACAAACAAATCTCGATCCAAACAATTTCCCTTCCAATTTCCACCGAAACCAAAAAGTCTCGACTTAAAAACGACAATCACCGTGTCGCAAAAGGCTCTGCATTAGAAATCAGCAAGCTCTAATTTTTACAAATTACAAATGATTCCACGTTGTGCAAACGAGGTGTAGCAGGTTCCCACGTAATTTCACGCTGGAGAATGAAATGGAAAAGGAGTAATGACATGATTTTAGTGTAACTGTAAACCAGTCCATTCCCACTGAGAATCTAAGAATAAGTTCCAGTCCGTACAATATAAATTTCCGTAAGTACTTCCGGTGGAATATGCTGTCACATTGTTCATCGAGGTAGTTCTATAAACGAAGAAACTGCAACGTGTTATCAAGGCATGCAGTGCAATTATATGTGATATGCTTCGAGCTGTTTGCGGCTTTAAACATATACCGCGGTAGGATATTGCATGACAGTGAGCATGATCTTGTCAAGGGTTCATAAATTTTGAGATCATGTTATTCATCGGACACTGAACTTTTAGTAATATTAGATTACGTGCGGAAAAGCAAACATATGAGAGGAAAACAAAATTAACTGTGTAACTGCACTGGTCGTACTTATCGATGATTATTTTCTGAATGCATTTTATATTTTTGGAATATTCTTGAAGAAACCATTGCCTTTTACAGCTGTTTATACAATTTGTATTTCCAAATTTTTGTATTTAACATATTTTGTCAGGACTTATCAAACTTTATGAGTTTATTACTGTTGAAGTTTTAGGTGACGAGTAGTATTTACCTGGGGTCAAACTTGACCTCAGAACATTTTATAAGGGCAGTTCTTGTTCTCTACTCTTAACATATTTTTTTACTGATCCAATAGTTCATTTTAGTAAGTCACTTATCCAACCTGATAGCATGACCCTATACAGGGTGTCTCACAATTAGTATAGGTCCCTGAAATGGGGGGTAGACGTGATTCTCAATAAGATTTCCCTCTGCAAAAATGGGGTTTGAAGCTTCGTTTTTGAATTATGTATGCGCGGTAAATCCAATGTATAGTATATTCAATACTTGGTGAATGCAACACGTAAGAAATCAATGCGTGGTAAATGTAATGCGCGGTAAATACAAGGCGAAGCAAGTACTATGCGTGGTAGGTGCAGCAAGTTGTAAGCAACGCGTGATAAATTCAATGCGTGGTAAATACAACGCGTGGTAAATATAATGTGTGGTTAATACAACGCGTGGTAGATGCAACACGTGGTAAGTAACGTGTGGTAAATTCAATGCGTGGTAAATACAACGCGTGGTAAATATAATGCGTGGTCAATACAACGCGTGGTAAATACAATGCGTAGTAAATACAACGCATGGTAGATATAACACTTGTAGGTGCAGCACGTGGTAAGCAACGAGTGGTAAGTGCAGCACGCGGTAAATGCTACGCGTGGTAAAGAACGCGTGTTAAATACAGTGCTTGGTAAATACAACGCGTAGTAAATATAATGCGTGGTCAATACAACGCGTGGTAGGTGCAGCACGTGGTAAGCAATGTGTGGTAAATTCAATGCGTGGTAAATACAACGCGTGGTAAATACAATGCGTGGCAAAGAACGCGTGGTAAATACAATGCGTGGTGAAGAACGCGTGGTAAATACAATGCGTGGTAAGTGCAGTACGTGGTGAAGAACGAGTGGTAAATACAGTGCGTGGTAAATATAATGCGTGGTTAATACAACGCGTGGTAGATGCAGCACGTGGTAAGCAACGTGTGGAAAATTCAATGCGTGGTAAATACAACGCGTGGTAAATACAATGCGTGGTAGATATAACGCTTGGTGGGTGTAGCACGTAGCAAGCAACGCGTGGTAAGTGCAACACGTGGTAGATACAACGCGTGGTAAGTGCAGTATGTGGTAAAGAACGCGTGGTAAATACAGTACGTGGTAAATACAACGCGTGGTATGTACTACGCGCTTAGTCGCTAGCTCGAAGCTGTTACTCTCGCGTCTGCGCATGCGTAATTCGCGCGCTCTGATCGGTCCGTGTTTTTTCTTAATAATTCAAAAACGAAACTTCAAACCTCATTTTTGCAAAGGGAAATATTATTCAGAATCACGTCAGCTACGCACCATTTCAGGGACCTACACTAATTGTAACACCCTGTATTTTAATTTTTAGCGAAAATATTCTTTTTAGACCGTTCAGATTTTCTCCTCACCTCTCACGAGTCAGGTACAATTTTAGAGTTCGTGCGAAGTGTTATTTTAAAAGTGCAATAAACAAACTTTTACTTAGAAATAAATTGTACATATTTATTCTAAATCAGTTATTTTGTATCTGAGAGTTATTTTCAGTTATTTTGTATTGCAAATTAAACGAGCTTGCGTTTTCATTAAGTTTCACTGTTATCACACATATGAAGATATAATAAATGATTTCGAATTGTGATACAATTTGATTAAACAGAAATTTATTAATATCTCATATTACATATTGAAAGCTAATTTTTTCTACCACGATATGAGAATTTGAATGTATTTATTTCTTTCGCTAATTGTTTAATGGACAAATGCGGTGCTAAAAATTTTCGGAATTCGAAACTTTCGCAACGTGAA